CCCTACAGTCCACATAGGCCCCTACAGTCCACATAGGCCCCTATAGTCCACATAGGTCCCCTACAGTCCACATAGGCCCCTGCAGTCCACAAAGGGCTTCTGCGGTCCCCTACAATCTACACAGCCCCCTGCAGTCCGCACAGCCCCCTGCAGTCCGCACAACCTCCTGCAGTCTACACAGCCCCCTGCAGTCCGCACAGCCCCCTGCAGTCCGCACAACCTCCTGCAGTCTACACAGCCCCCTGCAATCCGCACGGCCCCCTGCAGTCCACAGGCCAGTGGGCTGGCACTGAGGGGCGAGGCGATCTAGTGCAAGTGTCCAGGAGCAGCTGGGGAGTGAGCACGGCGTCCTTGATTCTGCCTTTAAACACCGGCATCCAGGTTTTACAATAACTTCTGAGGAGTGAGAGGGCCCACACACTGTGTCCCGAGTGCCCAGGCTGCAGCCCTGGCCAGTGGCCTGGCCTCTGTGGAGCAGTGCTCTGGCTGGCTGTGTCCTTCATAGGAACCGTGAGGGCTAGGACCCTGGGCAGAAGTGGGCTCCAACTCCAGCCCAGAGTGAGAGGGCAGTGCAACTCCACCCAGGGATGTCAGGGTCACCTCAGGGACAGCTCTGGGGGAGAGGCTGGCCATGTGTCCCCAGCAGGTGTGACACGCGGGCACGCTCACACACTCACACAACGTGCAGGTCTGCATGTACCCCTGCCCCTGTGCAGACCCTCCCCCGAGGCCGCTGTGCCCAGCGCCCTCCTCTCTCCTCTCTCTGTAGACATCCTGCAGTACTACCTGGCCTGCTCCCCTCGTGCTGCCAACCCCTTCCAGCAGGTGAGGCTCGGGGCTGCTCCTTCCCCTCAGTGTTCGTCCCCTGTTCCCAGGAGGTGGGGTACGGGGAGACGAGGTGTTCATCTGACACCTTACACATTACCTGGCCGGCGCACCTGGGAACCACTGCAGGGACAGGTGGGCAGAACTAGGAAAAGCCGTTGTCCCCAGCCCTCCTGCCGCTGACAGACCAGCTCCACAACTGTGGGCCATGCCTGGGCCGCCAGGGTTTAAAAGCCACCAAGAGGCGGTTTACACAGGGAGGGCTGCCAGAGCTGAGGGTTGACAAAGAGGGGATCGCAAAATAACTACGAAGAACAATCTAAAATAAATGGAAAATAAAGTAGTGTTTGTAAAGGGCATAGAGATAATAGGTAGATATTTAGAAAAATACACTTCTCCAGGGTCTTCTTTACTGTACTCAGGAAAATAAACGTAGATTACGAGGACTTTGTGCACAGTAAATTCAGGTGTGGGTGGAGCTCTCTCACGTTCTTGTCTGACGTGGAGCTTACAGCCCGGGGGGCGCAGCAGGTGTGGGTGGGGCTCAGGTCCAGGTGAGGCTCCTGCAGTGGCTGGGCTTTGGGGCGTTGCAGCTGTTGAGAGGTCGTCAAGCCCACCTCTCGGGTTGGACCAGTGTGAGGTGGAATCTGCAGGCAGGGCCCTCTGGGGATATCGTGTAGCCAGCTTCCTGTTCCCCGCTGAGTCCTACTTCGAGTCGTAAACACTGCAGAGAGGTCCTAGGTTCTGGAGAGGGCCCGCTGTTACCTGCGACCACCTGGAGGCTGTGGATATGCTGGGATGGTGGACCAAGGTGTCCAGAAGGCCAGCTGTGTCATCAGGGGCCCTGGCTGCCTGTTGCCTTCATCACCTGGAGGCCCTGTGGGTCAGCTGGAGTCCGGGCCGCCACCCTTGACCTGCCCCATGTCCATTGGGCCCGGGACGGGTCCGGATGCCCCACCTGTCACCACTCTCCCTGTGACCAGAGGTTGTCGGGCAGCCACAAGGCGCTGGTGGAGATGCAGGACACAGTGGCTGAGCTCCTGAGGACTGTTCCGCGGGAGACCCCGGCCTCCAAGGTGAGGCTCCGCAGATGGGTTGTGGTGGGCACCTCCTCACACAGAGAAGCAGGAGGGGCCCGAGCGGTGGGGCTGTCCGTCCCCCTCCTTGGCTTTCTGCCCACAGGGCACCTTTTCTTCCTCCTCTCCCCCCTTTTCCATAGATACATTGGCTAGGTTTTTTAAAAAATTCTTTTTTTATATTTTTAAGTAACAGAAAATACTTCCAATTTTAAAATAACTCAAAACTGAGCAAATGGCAACAGATGAAAGAACAAAATTCCCACCTGGCTCAGAGACTCCCTGCCTGGCCAATGTCCTCAGGTATTCCAGGTGCGGCCACTCTCCCTGCAGGGACCGTGGACACCACGCTCAGTGGCCAGACCTGCACAGCAAGCAGCCGCTCGAAAGGTTTTTTAAGTTTCCCAGCACATAAAGTGATGTAGACTCTCCTGTAGTCTATTAATATAACAGTAATGCAATGGAAAAATTGGAATGTGACAGGACACAGAGTAGCCTGTGCCGCTTGGAGGACGGTGCCGTGGACCTGCTGGGTGCAGGGCTGCCCCCCTGCCACTGTTAAGGACACGTGGGGACAGGGCTGCCGCCGGGCGTGTACTGGTCATGAACAGCGGTCTGCACGCTCTCGCTCTCTCCCCGTGCGGGTGTCCTGTGGGGGGTGGGGGTCTTTGCAGTTAAGTGTGGGTTAGGCCGCATTCTCTTCTCTCCACATTCGTTCAGGAGGGGCACAGGGAACGTGGTGGGAAGGTAGAGTTGGAGTGGGGAAGGCCACGTTCCAGGAACCGCTGTCCACACATAGGGCTTCCCTTACAGGCCCTCATCCAGATCGAGGTGTAAACAGGTATATGTGTACACTTCCACACAGGTAGATACAAACACGTGCAGATGTACCAAGATGCCCAGAGTCACAAACATGCATAGGCATACAAAGACCCGCAGACACACACACACACGCGTACATTCACACAGACCTACAAAGAGAGACACAGACACAAACATACACATAGTCATGCAGAGAGACACATACACACAGGAAACTGCCCATCTTCTTCCACAGAGCAGCTGGTGGATTTGAACAAGGTGTCTTGGGGATTGCAGTGTAGCATCTTACCACTAGGCCACCAGAGCTCCCCCCAGAGACACAAACGTACGTGCATACCTAGGGCCAGAAGACTCAGATACAGACATGCAGAAGCTAACATACAGAGACACACAGATGCGTACGTGCACACACACACAGACGCATGCACAGATTTCCTGACACCCGCATCCAGCCCCAAAGCATGCAGACATATAAGACACCCAGACACAAACACACTCAGACATGCGAAAAACACAGACCTAAACCCCTAGGTCGACACGCACAGATGTGTCGCTGGGCACCTGCGCACACTCACACCCACGAGCACATACCACCTTTCTCACGCATACACGCGCTCATGTGTGCATCTACACACACACCGCACTTCAGCATTGAGTTTCTCACAAGCTCACGCATGCGCGCGCACACTACCCCACACTGTGGCCCTGGGCTCACTCTCATGCTCGCACACGCGCATGCACGTCCATGCACACACACAAACACACACACACACTTCAGCCCTGGGCTCACTCATGCTTGCACACGCCCATGCACACACACACACACACACACATGCACACCCTCCCCAGAGGACTCGCTCTCATGCTCGCACACGTGCGCACACGCCCATGCACACACACACACACGCTTCAGCCCTGAGCTCGCTCTCATGTGCACACCCCCAGCACTGGGCTCCCCTGAAAGCACCATGAGGATCGCTGCTGTTCTAGGAATGTTCCCGAAGTAGAGCTCTGAGCAGAAGCCCACTGCTGTCAGTGCATGGGGTCCTGGTCCCTTATCATCCCTGAGCACTGAGGCTCTGTGGTCCGGGCCCACCAGACACTGCAAAGCTGGTGGTCAGTCCCCACGGGGCCACAGGGTGGGGGAGACCCATGGCAGGCTGAGGCTGCTCCAAGGTGGTGCTGCCTTCACGTGGTGCCTGTCCCCAGGACCCCCTGCTCCGTGTCCAGGAGGTGCTGAATGGCACCGAGGTGAACCTGCAACACCTCACAGCCCTGGTGGACTGTCGCAGCCTGCACCTGGTGAGTGGGTACCATGGGCACTGCTGGGGCGGGCGGGGTGGGCGTGGACAGCTGGCAAGAGAGGCTCACGTACCTGCGCCCGTCTGCATCTCAGGACTACGTGCAGGCCCTGAGTGGCTTCTGCTACGACGGCATCGAGGGTCTCATCTACCTGACTCTCTTCTCCTTCGTCACGGCGCTCATGTTCAGCTCCATTGTCTGCAGTGTCCCACATACCTGGCAGCCCAAGAGGTGAGGCCAGGGCTCCCAGCTGTGCCCTCCTGGGCGCCCCCGTCCCCGAGGGAGGGTCAGCACTGTCGGTGTCTGGCTGTGCTTGAGGCTGAGGGAAAAAGCCCCCTCTTGCAGATGGAAGACTCAGCCTCGAGGGGCTTCTGACTCAAGGGCCGAGTCCAGAGCAGGGTGAGAGGATTGGGATGTGCTCAGGCTGGGTCTGTGCCCCAAACCAGCTCATAATCCCTCTACACGAGCCACCCCACTCCCAGTACAGAGAGGAGCAGAGCTATGGATCGAGGTCCACATGCCACGGCCTCCTGACAGGTGGCTGAGATGGGTCCCAGTTGTTAGGGAACCACCCTCCCACCTCTTAGAAATGGGGCCCGCCAGCCCCTGCCTCAGGGTTCCCTGCCAGTGCTGGATTGAGTGGTGTATGGGGGTGCTTGGCTCCAAGAGCTCTGAGTACATGGGAAAATGAGGCCAACTCCCTCCACATGGTCTGACCCTCGACCTCTGCCCTCTGCCCTTGGCATGCTCGATTGGGGAGCTTGGAGGTTCTGAAAGGCTCCTTCCCCAGCTTGAACCCCCAAGGCAGACCCCTCCCCCTTCCTGCCCACTGGTCCTGTGACAGCTTGTTTGTGGCCTGACGCAGGATTCTATGTCATCATGTTCTGTTGTGATGGTGGAGGTGACGGTGGTGGAGGTGGAGGTGATGGTGGAGGTGACGCTGGTCATGTTGGCCACAGTGATGGTGGTGGTGGTCACAGTGGTGATGGTAGAGTTGACAGCAGCAGTGGTGTGATAGTGAAGTGGTGGAATGATGGTCAAGGCGGTGGTGCTGTCGGGTGTAGTCAGAACACAGCCCTGGAGCCGACCACCTGCATCCCAGCCCTGGCCCCACCCTCACCGCGTGGTGTGGGCAGACCGTTAGCCCGTTGGTGTAAGGACTCACCCTTGGTCTTTCCTGATGCCATTGACAGTAGCCGGGCTGTGTCCTCACCACTGGGCGTCTGGGGTCAGGTGACACTGTCGACAGCAGTGCTGCGGACACATCACAGGTGTGATGATGATGGGGTGGGTGAGCCTTGAACCTCCTGCCGTTGCCCCAAGCCGGAGTCAGGGTAGGAAACCAGTGCAGCCGAAAGGGGAGCCCAGGTGCAGACAGGGCAACCTGCAGGATCAGAAGAGGGCACCCCCGGCTCCAGCACCCCCTTCTGGCCTGCGGTGAGGCCTGGTGCAGGCCCTGCAGTATCCAGGTGCTGGGGTGTGGGGAGCTGGGCTCCAGGTGCTGGGGTGTGGGGAGCTGGGGCTCCAGGCGCTGGGGTGAGGGGAGCTGAGGCTCCAGGCGCTGGGGTGAGGGGAGCTGAGGCTCCAGGCGCTGGGGTGAGGGGAGCTGGGCTCCAGGCGCTGGGGTGAGGGGAGCTGGGCTCCAGGCGCTGGGGTG